AGGGAGAAGAGGATTCATACCTTTCTCAAGGGTATTAGCACCTAAGTGAATGTAATGGATTCGACTGGAATTCGAACTCGGCTCTCCTCAATCCAAGCAGCTATCCATTACTCCACCGTATCTAGTGTGTGTATATATATATATATATATATATATATATATATATATATATATATATATATATGTAATATATATATGCAAATGTAAATGAATATAGATCCGACAGAATGAAGAAAAATTTGGAAAAACAAACCAAAAAATCCTTAAATGCAATTATGTTGTTTAAACTGAATGAAATGTCGACGTCTGACGTTTCGGTTTAATAAACCTTCTTCAAGACAATATTCATTAAAATACAATTCAGTTCAATTTGACAAAGACGATGGACATAAAAAACAAGTCTTATCCAAAAAAACAGATAACTGAAAATTTTTTAAAATGATCAGCTTTCCGTTTAGCATGGTCACGTTGTCGTCACATGGGCGACGCTTTCAAAACGTATTCCTAAAAATTTTGGATTATTTTGAATGAAAAAGAAAATGAAAAGAATTCTATTAGGATCTAAAATTTTTATGTGTATGCTTGTCGAGCATTAATCTCGCTAAAAAAGGGGAAATATTAAAGAAACCAGGTCTAGTATTCACCGTGCGTGAGATGGATATTATACCTGCTTCATAAATCCTCCTGAGATTTTTATTATGAAAATATTTTAATACCTTCACGAAATCGAAATTATGATCTGCTTTAGTTGTGTGTACAACGAAAGCATTCAAAACGTATTCCTAAAATTTTTAGGAATACGTTTTGAAAGCGTCGCCCATGTGACGACAACGTGACCATGCTAAACGGAAAGCTGATTATTTTAAAAATTTTCAGTTATCTGTTTTGGATAAGACTTGTTTTTTATGTCCATCGTCTTTGTTGAACTGAATTGTATTTTAATGAATATTGTCTTGAAGAAGGTTTATTAAACCGAAACGTCAGACGTCGACATTTCATTCAGTTTAAACAACATAATTGCATTTAAGGATTTTTGGTTTGTTTTTTTCCAAATTTTTCTTATATATATATATATATATATATATATATATATATTTTTTAAAAGAATAAGTACTACTAATAAAGGTGTTTTGGCTCCCCATTGCATTTATCATGGTCTATGTTGTCTGGTAATTGTGCCGAAATTTGAACATTGTACAACACGTATGAAGGAATGATATGAAACATTTCTCTTTCCCATATTGTCCGAATACTTGCTGATGTCATTGTATTTCCTAAATCGCCATTAAATAAACCGCCAATCTGTAGCGATTTAACAAACAGTGCTTTGGAAATAAAGAAAAGGGCTACTCTAACTATACCGTTCTGTTGGCTCAGATCTCATTTTGTATTACGTATTCATGTTGTTTGCTAACAGCTCTAAACGAAGGGTCTTCGTAGTTGAGACGAAAAGCAGCTGAAATTAAGATGAAAGAAATTATTCAAATATTAATGTTAGCTGACAACGTTTCATCTAAAGAAAATTAAAGACATTATTACTATTATTAATACAAGTGTAAATAAATCATTTGAAATTAAGATTTAAAAAATACCAGTCAAATATTCATAACTAGTGCACCCGTGACGTCAAAAAAAATGACGACATTTGTTAGAAAGTTTTAATCGTCAGACGAAACGAAACAAAAGTCTTGAAACAATGTATTGGGATTCAATAAAGCGGGGATAAAGAATTCATAATTAAAATAGAGGCCAACGAACTGTTTAATTAATCCGTTGCCTTATATATATATATATATATATATATATATATATATGCGCTCGAAGATATCTGTGATTTATTGATTACTCCTAGTATTATACAAATCGCCTTTTGTTCAAGATTTTTTTCATGTTAAAAATGTTGTTTAATATAACAGTGAAATAGAAATATCTCACGGAAGATTAGCAATAGAACGACAAAGACTGCGACAACAAAACCTATTTCAAGTTGAAACAAGACGATCACAATAAACAAAGGTATCTGAGTGCCTCACATGAAAGGCTTTATCAAATAAGACTGCAATCTAAGAAACGTAGGAATGAAGGAATTGATTAATTAAACAGTCCATTTTACCCCGGAACTAATTTTGTCAAAATGCAGATAAATATTTTATTTTATAGCCTATTAAAACGAACAAGGGAAGTAATCACTTAGGTTACTAAATTTATACGTTGATTTATCTCCCTTTCGTCGACAGAAAGGACAGAAAATATATAAATAAATACACATTGATAATTATGTGATTATGGCTGACAATACTTCAACTAATAAAATTCAAGATACAACTAAATTATTGTGGGTAATCTTATTTAAAATTTCCTTTACATTAACTTATTGTCAAGCATCCAGTATTTTAAATAATTATAATATATACGGAAGTAAATGTTGAAGCTTCTGTTACGCATTCCTCAGTTTGTAATGATTCGACCTGGCTGATTGAGTTACGTTCTTCAAACTGACGTTATCAGTACTTTCTGGTGTCAGAGCCAAGGTTTAATAGTGGATAAATGACCCCCACTTGGATTATTGATGCAGCACAACCTTTCTTATCCCAAATATACCTGACTTTATCGTGTGTTAGAATTTGCTTATAATCCGTCATAAGAATTTTAAAATGAAACAGATCGATGCATTACCTTTAAAGAACTTTGAAGGTATATTGAAATTACATGACTTGGTATTTTTTCATATTTACTTTGAATTTCACTGTCAGCCCGGAGAATATTTGAGTGTCCTTAAATTTAAGTTGAAAACTCTTTTTTTTTTTTTTTTTTTTTTTTTTTTTTATAGTTCTGTTCATAAATACATATTGTAAAATGAAATCCTTACATTTGCATTCATAAAGTCCACCAGAGGACGAAACGCGTCGGTAAAGAAAAGTTTTTTTTTTTTTTGTTTTGTTTTTATTCATATATTGAAATGTTTATTTCGAATAAATATTATCAAATTTAGAAGTTTCAAGTTTTAGATTTTGTAAATTAATTTAAAAAGTATTTTAATTACCGTATAGTTTTTATAGTCATTTTTAGACGCAAAATATATGGAGGGTGTCACGCTATACGCAAATTATTATTTTTTTTTTTTTTTTTTTTTTTTTTTTTTGAAGTTTTAAAATCATGCATTTCTGGCGACCACTTACCTTATACACAGGTAATTTTTTGGAAGGGATTGAAATTCATGCCAAAAATTCAGGGGAGTCACTATAAATAAAGTCGACTTATATACGAGCATTATACGGTAAATTTTCTCTTTCAGAACGGAACAAATTTCATTTTAGAGAAAGGGAAGTAACATTTATCTCCCCTGAAAGTTGTCTCCCTTGTTTTCGTATACACCATCCAACTCCGGCGTTACTTGAAAGTCAATTTAAAAGAAATCCACTCTACGACTGGAACTTGTAAATTATGATACCCAATTAAATATTATAAACTTATTAAACTTCTGCGGTGCAGTGGATAACAACTCGAAGTTCGAATTTTAGTTGGGTTCATAACTTTCACTTACGAGCATATTCACTTTGGAGAGGTATGAATTCGTCCCTGACCTTCCAAAGCTGGAAGGAGTAGACTGGGTTCTATAGCCTTGGTTTTACAACCAGTCTATAGCAGACAGAAATGGCAACCTAGGGTCTCGTCAGTCATGAATCAAAAGAGACCTGATCGGTCAAGCGTGAATCATGCACGGCACTTAATTGAATTAAATGACTGATTTAGCATGTTAATTTTATTCATTCTTAGTTTATACTTAGAGGTTAAGGTTTTATGTATATGATTATAGATCACTACATTTTTTAATATAGTGTCAACGAAGGACGAAATCTTACTGTCATTAAATAAAACAAAATATATTTAAACATTGGAATGCGTTCGAAGAGCCTATTAATCACCCGTCATCATCAGACCCTCGCTTGTTTCAATCGTTGCGGGGGTGGGGATCTGAGGGCAGAAGAAACTCTGATCCTTCTTCCTCTTGATCCTTTCAGGGATCTTTCAAATAATTTGTTGGCACCCATCTCCTCTCTAAACTCTTGATCGATAGCCGAAGACCACGGAAGATAATGTGGGTCACCCTCGGTCCGTACATTAGGCTCTCAGGTTTAGAATTCAGAGTTGTGATTCCCCCTAGACCGGCTGCCATTCAAGCTTATAGGACCCACTCTGTCCTGCTATTTACCCATAGCTGGTGAGAGAAGCGATGGATTCACATATTTTTCCGAAGGGTATTAGAACATAAGTGAATGTAATGAACTCAAATGGATTCGAACTCGGCTCCCTGCTTCCTCAGTCAGCCGTAACACGTAAAAAATATAACATTTTTAAGTCTAAATTTTGCTCCTGTTTTCTTGATTCTAACTTAGCAATCTAAATAAAAAATTCCGATGGAATTAGCTTATATGCTTAAGTATATAGCTGCTTTTTCTAATCGTAGATAAAGTGTTTCTAATAGTCTTTGGAACAAGCTTTTCAACACAAATGGTATTCAATTTACCCAGAAACCTTTGATGTAAAATTTACAAACCAGTAACTAATTGAAAGTAAAATAGCGTTTCTCTAAAGGTGTTTAACATCTTTTCAGCGTAATGATAATGCAAATGCTAGTTTTATTTCTTAATCATTTTAAATAAAACACCTGTAGCAGTCCGACCATATCTGGAAAAAAATACTTATAACGCCATAGAAGTAATTTGCCTCTCCTGAAGAACGTAAAAGTAAGGACTATTATAAATACCATTTAAAATTCAATAACCTAAAAGAAAATATTTTCTACTTGAATGTGTTTATTATGTAGACTTGTTATTTTTAAAGTAGGTTATGACCCCATTCTAAAACGCCGAATTTAATTTGCCGTAGTGTGATTTTAAATATTTTATTGAGCACCATTTTTATCTCTCGATACGAGACATATTTTATTGCATATTCTTTATTTATCTTATTACAAAGTACCACTTTGTTCTTTTTAGGCAATTCGCTTGGGCTCTATCAGTAGTGAAAGAAAGTGATACTTATGCAGCCAACACTACTTCGAGATTTATTCAGGAATAACTTGCAGAGGAGGAGCACGGTGGAATAATGGATAATGGCTTGGATTGGGGAATCGGAGATCCGGGTTCGAATTCCAGTCGAGTTCGTTGCATTAAGTAAGTACCCTTGAGAAAGGTATTAATCTATCCAACTTTACCCATTAAACCAGTTAAATAGCAGCATAGAATGGACTCTTCTTGTTTTGGGTGGCAACCGGTGTAACCTTCCCTCAAATCCATGAGGAGGAATGGACCCATTACCCAACCGCGTTGATCCAATGCACCTACATATATTGCAACCTGTCTAGGAGAATTATGAATTCAATTCGGCGACTAAACTAAGCTCCTCCGCCGGTTTGGTGAGGAGCGTATGTAGAACCCCAGCAGCACAACAAACAAGAGCTATTAAAGGGCTAGAGTCAACGGCTAATGGGTTAAATAGCCTCACCAGCCCACAGTGAAGCGTGGGTGTACGGCTGCACTCCGGAAGATATATTTTCAATCAGGGAGGCGTCCTTCAACAGCAGTGAGAAAGCTTTGGATTTGGAACTTGAACAGTATTGATAGCATTTTAATTCGGTTAAAAATTATTGTTCAAGCAAACTAGCAAATGGTTATTGACAGGTCAAGGCCCATTACTCTGAATCTTTGATCTTAGAAGTTCTGATTTTTCTGCAGTAGTCGGAAAAATGGTTGGTATGTATTTTACAATTCTGAACTAAGAACAATTGTAGAGCCATGAACCACAATTTAAAATCTTAATATTTATTCATATATTAATTAGCTAGAAGTTTTTTGACAGCCAACAGTATATAAGCCTTTCAGCTGACGGATAAGGCTGACCTTAGAGTTGACGGCCATATCATATTGAAACACCGCTTCTTATCCGATCACCGGGGTTAAGCAACGTCGAGTAGATCACGCCGAGATGGGTGACCGTTTGGGAATAGCTGTAAACTTGGATATGCGGGTGGTGTAGTGGATAACGGCTCGGAATTTGAAAGTTAAATTCGAAATCCAGTCGGGTTCGTTTCACTTAAGCGCAAATACGCTTGGGCGATGATGACTTCAAAAGAGATATGATTACCAAAGCGTGTGACCCTGCCCTTACCAACACGTATTGGATCAGCGTGGTAGATCCCATTTCCCCTCATGAATTTGTGGGAGGGTCTACGTCCAACAAAGGACCTTCACACGCTGAGATATATAAGTATATAATCGTTGAAGGATTGAAGAAGTCACTCACATATTAAGAATGTACAGCTCATCAAGGTTAATATTTATATTAACTTGCACACATACACTGATACTCACTAGAAAAAAAAATTACTGTCAGCAACTCGTTCTCGAATTGTGCTTCACTCTGAAAACCATGGGTTCATACTGACTTTCATGAAATCTTTCAACCATATCCGGGACTATTTAGTGGTCATTGTTCCACGAGAATACATTTAAAAAAAAAAAAATTTTATTAAATTATCTGGCTAGAATTAATTTTGAATTTTTTTATTTTTTTATTTTATCGATAATATACACGGAAACATCTCTAGTTGTGTTAAAATACGATTTATGTGTTATCAGTTTATACTAGTGAGTCTCAGCCTTCTTTGGTCATGCCTCACCGAAGCAACTCCAAAATCTTGATGCCCACCTGTGACATATAATTCTTATTATTTAAAAAGTGAACTCTTATTCACGTGGTGGAAGCCTAAAAGACCATTCACTTAACTTAAGAACTTGAGACTACATATATGCAACAGTATTATCATTTAATTTTTAGAATTTTACAGTATTTATTTAAAAAAAAAAATGGTGTTACGATCAAGACACTTTCTAGACCTTTTTGAAAGGACGAAACGCGCCATAAGAAAACTCCCCACCCCCCAATTTGTCATATATGTACTCGTACATAAAACGACTCCATGTATAGTACTACCCCTGATACTTTTTGCATGATTTTTAATCTTTTTTTTTTTTTTTTAAAAAAAAAAAAAAAACCTGTGTATAGTGCGACTTCCTATTTTTTGCTTAAAAAATTGATAGTAAAATCTCGCACGATACACGCGCATATATATATATATATATATATATATGACTGTTCCGTATAGGATACAGGTTCGATTCCTGTCGGAGGACGAATATTTTCTATGAAAATTTCTCGGACATTCAGGCCGGTAAATGTTACTAATACTGTTTATTATAAAACAGAGCATTTATTTAAATATTTGTATCTATAAAAAGAATGTATAAACATAAAAGTGTCTTAAAATAATTGTCGGACATTTCATACACACACACACATATATATATATATATATATATATATATATATATATATATATATATATATATATATACACACACACACATTACGCTGTTCATAGCATTTACTTCTAAAAAGTGCTCAATACAAAGTAGAGCAATATATTATTATTTTTATTACAAGATTATAATAAAAACATATTGATATCGCTACACAATAGCTTTCGTGTTTCGACAACTTTGTGCTCTTCAAGCGGAAAATAAATATACAGTGTAACCCGGATGTAAGAGAGTTGTCGGGACCGGAGAAGAAGTCTCTTATATCCGGGTTTGGTCTATTTTATATACATTAACACAGGCTCTAATTTGGGACCAGAGAAAATCTCTCTTATATCTGGGTTACACTATCTATCTATCTATATATATATATATATATATATATATTATACAACGTCACATTAACAGTGTATAATAAATATTTATTGCTCTACTCTTGTATTAAAACCTGTTTTAAATAAATATTTTGAACGTTTGAATTTTATTCTTCGTCCTTTTACATTTGGAGAGATATAGACATAATTATACACAAATATTTTTATGTATGCATACTGTACATGCACCGTATGTATTAACTTGCACACATACACTGATGCTCACTAGAAAAAAAAATTACTGTCAGCAACTCGTTCTCGAATTGTGCTTCACTCTGAAAACCATGGGTTTATACTGACTTTCATGAAATCTTTCAACCATGTCCGGGAGTTAAAAGTTTAATCGCAGATTAATAATATTTCTAATTATTTCTTATGGAAATGAAGATAGGTCTTTTATGTCCTCGCATCCTGTCTGTTGTCAGTATTTTTTTAAAACTATATCTTTAGGAATTGATGTCAAAACTAATACAAAAATAGGTTTAAAAAATATTTGAATAATAAATCCTCGGTGTGATTCTAAAAAATAAATAAATAAATAAATAAGGTTGGATATACGTAATTTTTTTTCATGTTTTTTTTCTTCTATTTTTGAAATGAGTAAACTGATCTCGATTAGAATATGGACAATTTTCTGACATAAAAGATTTTTTTTTTTTTTTTTTTTTGTGAAGTTACTCCCCTATCTTTTTAAAGAACTGTATTATAAAAAAAGGCGTAGATTGATAGAGGTACATTTAAAATTTATTTTTCCTATTTTATAAAAATGCACTTAACCTCTTCAGCATCATAAGTACGAAATCTACTTTTATAACGAGTTCGTATCCGCCATATATCCGACTTCATGTATGGTACGACCCCTAATATTTTTTTCATGAATCTTAAGCCCCCCCCCCACTAGAAAAAAAAAACGTATATTCAATGCAACCGGTCACCAAAAATGCATAATTTTTAACCTCATCAAAAAAAAAATTACCTGTCTATAGTGCACCCTCAATTTTTTTTCTTGTAAAAAAAAAAAAAATAAAAAAATAAAAAAAAAACAAACTTGCACTATATTCGAGCATATACGGTAATATAAATATCATCCTGAGCCACTTATTTGAACGTCATGTTTTAGACAAGACCAACAGTTTGAAGCGATTGAAACCTAAAGAATGATTTCAGACGACCTGAAAATGAAATTTTCAAAGATAATTACACAACAGAAAATACGTTACAATGATTAATATAAGTATGTCCACTGTTTTCGCGGAAAAACTGCATAGCGTAAATGAAAAATGCCACAAACTTAAAGAAAATAAAGTATTATCGTCAAAATGCTTATGTTATTATTAAGATGAAAGAAAAAAGTATTTTTTAATTATTTTTTGAAATTTTTTAATATTTTCTAACACGTTCGAAATTTTGGTTAAAGTCGTCTTTGTTTACGTCATCGCGGCGACGTTTAAAATAACATAGTTTTTTTTTTGCGTTTTTTTACCGTTGAAAACATATTGATTTGGAAATTCTTGTAAAATAAAATAATTGTCCAATCTTAATGAAATTTTCAGGACTTATTCACAAATGAATGAAATTATTTTTCAAATATTTTGTTTAGAAAATTTTGGTAAAAAATATTTTTTTTTATATATGTTACCCCCCACTTAGTTAATTTCATGAAATTTCGCCCAAAACCTTTTTGGCTCCTCAATTTTATTTTTTTGTTAAAAGAAGGAGTCTTTGGAGATGGTAAATAATCTACTTTTCTTTCACAAATTTGAGCTACTTAACTGAAAATCTTGTCTGAATTGAAAAATAATGAATCCAATAAAACTATGATATTACTTAATTAGAAAAGCTTTTAATTGCTTTTGTAAATAAGTAATATTAAGGACATTATTGTCTGAAGAAATAGTTTTTTTCTGATGAATAATTAATTTTACAAGAATTTTTTCGTTTTTTAAGAAATTTTAATTATAATAATTTATAATAGTTTAACATCGTGTAAAGCTCTGTATTAGGAGGGCTCCTCAATATTATGTAGTAATTAAGTAGAAAAAAAAATTATGAATCCAAAATTGCTAAGTTTAATAAATTTAGTTGCGCTACTTTTTTTTTAAAAATAATTTTTTATGTTGTATTTTTTTTACTTAATACATTCCTTATTTCCATGCATGATATACAGAAATTGCCATTATTATAACAAGGTCACGTGATCTAAGGGTTTTGTCCCTTTACGTGGCCTTTTCAAAACATTTCGTTTCTTATAAGTTGTATTTTCCGTTCAAAAGTGTAAATTTTAAATTATTTTTTCTTTTTTTCATTTACTATTTCACTAAATAATTTTATGTATTGTGTGTGTCATACTCAAATAGAATAATTTTTTTAAAAACTCAGACTTAAAAATTGTCATTTATGGTCATCAATAGTAGCTGTCATCGG